GTTGTAGTTGAGTCGAAGGGAAAGCCCCTTCCCTTTGATCCCTTTCCCGCACGCGGGGTGGGTCCCCGGGGGTCCTGGGGGGGTCCCGGGAGGGGGTCGCTTCCCAGATACGACTCCTCCCCGGGGGCGGGGGGGTCGCCACCCAGATACGCCCCCCCCCTGGGCGGTTTGGGGACCCAGAAAGAGCTCCAAGAACGCAGAAGTGCCCCAAGATGCTCCCAAGACTGTGCTCGAGGGCCCCGAATCGCCGAAGTATCGGCCCAAGTCGCCAAAGTTGCCCCCAAATGGCTTCAAAGGGTTTTCCCAAACGCCCCAAGAGGCCTCCAAGAGTACTTCCAAGAGGGCTCCAAGGGGCAAACATCATCGAGTTCCCTTATGTTTTGAAAGATTTTGGCATTCTCGCCCTGTCAGCTCACCGACGCTCCAAGAAAGGCCAAGTGGGGCCCAACACCGCCACAACATGGCCCCAGAGGCCTCCAAGAGGCCTCCAAGACAGCCGAAGAGGCCCCCAAGACGGCTCCATGATGGAGCCCAGACGAGGGCCCCGAACAGTCATTTCGAGCCCTCGGCCTGAGAAACTCCCAGGAGGCCCCCAGAGGCCCCTAAGAAACCCCCCAACAGGCCCCAAGAGGCCCCGAAGAGACCCCCAGAACCCCCCAAGAGGTCCCCACGAGGCTCCCAAGCGGCCCCCAAGAGCATCCCAAGCGGCCCCAAGGCTACCCCCAAGAGGCACCCGAGAGCGCTCGTCGTCGTCGTCGTCGTCGTCGTCGTCGTCGTCGTCCTCGTCGTCGCGATTCAGGGTCGGCGGCTCTGGCCGTAAGGCCTCCGCAGTAGACACAGATCTCAGGATATCCCCCACCTTTTCTTCCATACCTTCTGGGTGGTCGTCTTGCTCCCCTCAAATTTCATATATATATATATATATATATATATATGTGTATGGATGTATGTATGTATGGATGTATATATATATATATATTCCTATATGTTTTCTTCGAAGTCGGCGGTCACATGTGTCTGTGTGTTTCCCCCTCCTGCATCTCTTGGATGCACATCTCCTTGCTTTCGCGGGCGCCCGCTAGCCTTCGGCCGGCATTCGCCCGCGGGAGGGCGCGCCCTCCCGCGGGCCTCGCGCCGCCTCCCGCCGAGATATAGAGGCGGCAACTCCTTCGGCCCTCGAAGGCCCTCGAAGGCGGGGCCCTCCCGTCGTCGTCGTCGTCGTCGTCCTCGTCGTCGCGACGATCAAGCCCGGATCTTACGCGAGATGGCGCAGCGACCTTATGCGATGGCTTACGCGGGCCTCCAGCGCGGCACGCCACACTGCGGACGAGGGCGCTTGCGCACGACCTCACGCGGGCACTTTGCGCGCGAGTGTCGGCACAGTTGGACCCGTTTTTGCGTCGCCCACGTGGCCTTCTCTTTGTGCTACTCCTCCACCCGAGGTGCGCCGAGCAGGGCTGGGGGGAGTGCACCCGCGGCCGCGGGGAGGCAACTCGCTGGGCGCCGCACGCGACGGAGGCCGCCTGGAGGGCTAACCCCTTTTGCTGCTGCATCCTCCCTCCTTCTCCTCCTCCTCCTCCGACTGCTCCTGCTCCTGCTCCTCCTCCCTCCGGCTGCTCCTGCTCCTCCTCCTCCTCCTCCTCCTCCTCCTCCTCCTCCTCCTCCTCCTCCTGCTCGCTCCTCCTCCTCCTCCTCTCCTCCTCCTCCTCTCCTCCTCCTCCTCCTCCTCCTCCTCCTCGTCTCCTCGTCTCCTCGTCTCCTCGTCTCCTCGTCTCCTCGTCTCCTCCTCCTCCTCCTCCTCCTCCTCCTCCTCCTCCTCCTCCTCCTCCTCTCCTCCTCCTCTCACGGCCGGCGGCGAACACCTCCGCAGCTGCGCCCTCGCGGCCTAGATTCCGGGGCGCGGCCCCGCGGGCACGCGGTCGCACGGAGGCGTTCTGCGCGGGGCGTCGGCGGACAAACACGTCCCGCATCCGAAGGGTCGCGGCCCGGGGGGCCCCACCCGCGAGTCCGCGGATACGGATGTGTTGCGCCCGCGGCCCCTCCCGCCTCTAGACAACCACAACACAGCAGAAACGCAAACTTTCGGAGGTCCGCGCGAAGTTCTCGGATCGGCGCTGGGCCCCCCCCCTGGAGCGCGCCAGGGGCACAACAGGAGGCGCCGCCAGGGGGCTCCAGCACCGATCCAAGAAATCGGCGCGGAGCTCCGAAGGTTTATGTTTATGTAGTGCTTCGCCGATTCGAAATCGCCCCTCCCCCAGCAAAAAGGGAGGAGTGGTATGGGAGGGGAAGATGGAGGAGATGGGCAAGCGGCAAGAGCAGCAGCCTGCGGGGTAACCCCTTCTGCTCGGCGACACGTAAGAATGACCCTGGGCAAGAGTGCCCCTTGGGGCGCGGCCTTAGGGGGGCCCGTGGGGGCCGGGAGCAACCGCGAAAGCCGAGGCCGTCGGATTGCATCGACGATCGGAGGAGCGCGCTTCGATAGATCCCTAGCGCCAGCAAGAAATTGCGGACTTCCGCCAATTCGTTCCGGGCGCCCCAGAACACCCGCCCGAGGGCTCTGCGAAGCCATACGTAATCGGGCGCCACCGCGGAATGCTCTGGCACTGCCGGGCCGCATCGCGATGACGTCTGACCCGGTCTGGCGTCAAGGCCGAAACGGGGCCGAAACTTGGCCCCCCGCAGCCGCGAATAACTCTCAATAGTAAAAAATTGAATTGTAAAGCGCGGAACGCGACAAGTTATTCAAAGTTAGTCACAAAGTTAATCCAGGGCGATTTGGGACCGGTCTCGAAGCGGAGAGCAAGTCGCCCGCTCGACTGGGCCCCCTTTCGCCAAACGAAGCACGCGGCAGAATACACCGTGCATGCGTTGCGATCGATTGCGAGGGGCGCACCCTGAATCAAGCGCGCTCCGGCGCGATCGCAGCCTTGTGCAGCGTGCGCCGACGCGAGCCCGAGCGCACTCCTCAAGGAAGTCTGTCCGACCCCATCAGGGCCAATACTAAAGGTCACTCTGGCCAAGGGTCACTCTTACGTGTAGCCGATCTGCTATCGCTGCACCTGCCTCATCTACCTTCCCCCCCCCTTCCCCGGGACACGTCCCTCCTCCTCCTCCTCCTCCTCCTCCTCCTCCTCCAGCAAGGATGGAACGGAGGAGGTGAGGGGGAACAACCAGGGGGGGATGCCTCAAAGGGGGAAACAACCACCCAGAGCCAGCGATGGACTCATCTCCGGTAGATCGGCGGTAGGTCCCCGATACAGAATCCTGGCGCGGGGACGCCAAACCCACGGATTGGTGAAGGTATCCCCCTAAGGTCGGTGCCGCCACATTTGGCGATGAAGCGCGCCGACTCTGTACGGTTGTCGGGCATGTCCTCCTACAGGCGGATGTCTGAAAGAGAAATTTAAATGCTATATAACAGAATGGCCCAAACTAATAGCACCATCATCCCCTGACTATTTGTGTTGCTATGTTTGGACGCTCCCCCAATAGAAAAGACATGCCCCGCTTAGTGCGGAAACGGGGCCCGCCGCCTGCTGCTTCGCCCCCGCAATTTCCACCGTGCTGCGGGGATCGATGGGGAGGCGGCGAGAGGGCGGACAACGCCGAGGGAGGGAGCAAGGACGGGCGAGAAGGGACGGCGAGAAGAGGAGGGGGAGGAAGAGGAGGAGGAAAAGGAGGAAGAGGAGGAAGAGCAGGAAGAAGAGGAGGAAGAGGAAGAAGAGGAGAGGGAAAAGGAGGAGGAGGAGAGGAGGAAGAGGAGCACGTGGGATCAGGAGCGACGGCGCTGCAGCGCGCCGAGTCTGCACGGAAACGGGGCCCGCTGCCTGCCGCCTCGCCCCTGCAGGCTCCCGCCCCGCCGGAGGGGCGCGCCGCCCGGCGGCCCGGGTCCCCTCGCGCCCGCCGTCGCGCCGCGCCCGCCGCATGGCCCCGTCGTGGCCGCCCCGTGCGCAGACCTCCCTCCCCCCCCCCCTTCTTCTTTTGTTTGAGGGGCCTGCTTTCCACCACCACCACCACCCATAGGTGGGAGGGGGAGGGGGTCCTCTCCTCCTCCTCCTCCTCCTCCTCCTCCTCCTCCTCCCTCCTCCTCCTCCTCCTCCTCCTCTGCTCCTCCTCCTGCCTCCTCCTCCTCCTCCTCCTTCTCCTCCTCCTCTACCTCCTTCCCCCCTTCCAACTTACGGTGGTGGTGGTGGACAACAGGCCCCCTCTTTCTATCAACTGCAGCCAGCTCTGCGCAGCCTCTGGGAAACGACGGTGGGTCCTTTCTGCGCGTGACCCGGGGGCGACGTGCTCCCCGGGCGAGTGGCGCATTCCGCACGTCTCTGATGCACACCCGGTGCGCCACTCGGCACCAATATCTTCTCCGTCGGAGCGCGACGAGGCATGTGCAAGAGCAAGCATGCGCCCCCCCCTTTGTGATGAGAAGCGGAATCGCACTACGGCGCGAACGCGACGTAGACGTGAACGCATGCGAGGATGCTGCTTCTCGATCCGCGCCTCCGCAGTCCAGCACCCCCACGCTGTGCGCCGGACCCTGCGCGTGTTCTTGCCTGCAGCGCGCTGCGTGCCCAGCTTGAGCACCCGCCTAGAAGCTTACGACTGCGAAGTCGCCTCCCGCCCCCCCGCGCCCATCCGCACCCTCGCCGATGGGGTCGGCGACGTGCCCCGCCCGGGCGGGACGGACCCGCCCAGGAAGCGTCGGCCTGGAATCGGCAACACATCCCCGACGTGTGGGCGATGTGCCCCATGCCGATGCCGCGCGCTCCTGGGCGGCGTGAGGCCATGGGGCCGTCGGCGAGCAGTGGGCGCATCCCCCCCCCTGACGTTGCCCCCTGATTCTGCCGTTGTCCCTGATCGTATCACACCCTGACGTTGCCCCTGAACCTATCCCACCCTAACGTTGCTCCTGCCGATGCCCGCTGAACATCACGTTGATGCATCCCCGCCCCTGAGCCTATCCCACTCGAACGTTACCCCCGAAGATCGGAGGCGGAGAAAGCGCGGAAGGGGCAGCGCCCACCGACGAGCGGTTGGTCCCGGCGCTGGCGGCGCGGCTGTTGCGTCCGCGGGGACTGGAAGAGCGGCTGGCGGAGCTGGCGGCGCACGGAGGGCTGGCCGGAGGAGTGCCTTTCGAAGGGGCTCGAAGTGTTCGGGCGTTTCGCAATGGGGATCGACAAAAAAAGGGGGGGGGCGTGCACCTTTCGTCCCCCTTTTTGGGCGCCAGGGGGGCACTTTCGGGCACATGAGGTGCACTTATCTTCGCCCCCACTTTTAGTGGAGAAACCAAGAGGTACCAATACTGCTACTCCCTGGACCTCCCCCAGGGTACGTTCTGACAAGGCCTCCGAGGCGAATCCAGCGTTGGCGCTGAGGGCCTCCTGGCAGGCCCAAAAAGAAGAAAACGAAGGAAGTGTAGCGGTATGGGTACCTTTTCCTCCTCTTACTTATCCATCCGACTGTCACAACGCCCAAAATATGTACCAATCCTTTGATCCAGGCGTTGCATTGCTTTTCACACCGGGCGTGGTTTGGCCCGGCTTTCGGGGCCCCGGGGGTCATCGCAGCGCGGTCTCTGGCTCGAGAGACTGCCACAGAAAGATGGGGTGCAGGGCTGCGGCCGTGAGTTTCCAGATGTCGCATACTTTCCGAGAAATCGCATCTCAGAGAAGTCGTCTGGTCGGCGAAGGAGCTGGGTGGATAGAGGTCCAAGCTGCCCACCATGTGGGACGCTCCGAACTCCGAGCTTGTGGGCTCCCGGGCCAACCAAACGGCGCGGCATGTTGCATCGAGACCCTTCGAATACCTCCCGCGTGCAGGCGTCGAGGGTGGAGATCTCGCCGAACATGCCTTGGCCGTCCAAGAAAAGCGGGGTGCGCCGGATTCGGACTCGGCTCGATCCAGATCCTCGATGTGCGATTGATAAGGCCCCTCTTGTGGTGGGGCAGACTGCGCGCAAAAAGACCTGAGCCAACGGCTCGCTTCGCGCGTGCAGTGGTATGGTGCCGGAACCACACATGCCGCTGCTGCCGATGATTCCGTGGCTGCTGCGGTCATGCTGAAGCTGCTGCTACGCATAGGGGACAGGCGTGTGGCCAGCAAAGATGTGGAGGAGAACACCACTCTGAAACCAAAGCTCGGCGGGCGTCCTACGCGAGGGCACCGTTCTGTGCCAGTGCTGCGGCCGCTGCTGTAGCGAGGGCGCCTGCGTGAGACCGCCACCCCCCGAGGCAGGAGCACAGCCCAAGTGTCAGGCGAGAGCGCCGCTCCGCAGCGAGGTCTCTCCAGAGCCCGATGACTGGTGTTCGCGACAACGCCCGCGACCAGCCCTGCCCTCCCCGCCCCCTCCCCGGGGTCACGTCACGATTCGCGCCAGCGCGGTGTGGCAATTCGCCGCTCCTGATCATTCCCAGACAGCGCCGGCGCGATTCGTGACGTCGCCGCCCACCCCCCCCCCGAATCCGAATCCCACGGGTGCCGCCCGCTACCGCCACGGGACAAACGAACTGTCTCCGGCGCCGTGGGCAAAAACTATACGACTCCCAAGAGCCCTTCAGGCTCAACAGTATTCCCTCTCCCAGAGAAACATCTTCATTCCCGGGAGGTTTACGTTCCCCCTTCCCTGTGTGTTCTTCTTGAGCTGCGGGCCCCATAGGGAGGGTGCTCCCATCTGAGATTTCCTCGCAACTCACTCATAGACGAGGCTCCCGCTTGATACATTCAGGCCTGAGGATACCAATCGTGACGACAATTACACATTACATGATCACCCGCTCGGATTACTAACATGAAGTGTGGGACACATAGGGAGGGGGCTCCCGCCTGACACTTCCTCGCAATCCACTCACGGACGAGGCTCCCGCTTGATATTTCCTACATGCTTAGGCCTCAAGGCCCCCGACAATGACGACGGTGTCGGGTTTTGGATGACCCGCTCGGATTCCTAATATATGAGCTGCGGGCCCCATAAGGGGATGGCTCCCGCCTGAGACTTCCTCGCGATTGACTCACAGACGAGGCTCCCACTTGATACTTCCTTCACATTCAAGCCTGAGTTTCCTAACAACGACGACTGATACAATTCTCAGGATGACCCGCTCGGATTGCTAACATTAGCTGCTGGCCCCATAGGGAAGGTGCTCCCGCCTGAGACGTTCTCGCATTTCGCTCACGAACCTCCATAGACAGGCTGAAGGACCCCAACAGCGGCGACAGCTACAGGTGTCAGGATGACCCGCTCGGATTACTAGTATGAATTGAGGGCCCCATAGGGAAGGGACTCCCGCATGAGACGTCCACGCAATTTACTCACAGACGAGGCTTCCACCTTGATTTTTCCTTCATAATCAGGCCTGAGGACCTCCCCTCTGACGATAGTTACAAGTTTCAGAGGAATCCGCTTGCATTGCTAACATGAGCTGCGGGTCCCATAGAGATGGGGCTCTGCCTCGAGACGTCACTCAAGGTGAGTACGCGAGAGTGTGAGTGTGGAGGGTGCTGATGAGTGATGACGAGTGGTGAGTGATGATGATGTTGTTTTATGATGCTGATGCTGATGCAGATGAGAATGCAAATACTGACGATAGTAATAATCCCGACGATGGTGATAAAGGATGATGATGACGATAATCATAATAATGATGATGATGATGATGATGATGATGATGAGGAGGATGAGGACGAGGATGATGATGATGTTACGGTGGTTACGATGATGATATTTGTGGTGGTGGTGGTTTTGATGTTGATGTTGATGTTCTTGAGGTTGATGTTGATGATGATGATCATCATCATCAGCATCATCATCATGATGATGATCATGATCAGGATGATGATCATCATGATGATAGCTATGATGATGACTTGATGATGATGAGGAGGATAAGGATGACGATGATGATGATGTTATGATGATGATGAGTGCGGGGTGTTTAAGTGTGTGAGTGGGGACAGGGGAGCGGAGGAGGATGAGGACGAGGAGAAATCCTGCGCGGTGGATGTGCTGAGGAAACAAGAGCCCCATTTAGAATGTTTTGAACAAACACGCGAGTGGAGCCCGGACCCCATCTGTCTGCGTCATTTTGCAAGCCGGATCGACATGTCAGGGCGCCCGAAACTGGGCGGAAACGACGGCGATGGAACAAAAATGCAACGCCAGGATCTCACGGATCGACATGCAATTTAGCTTGCTGGAGTCTCGCGAAGAACGCCCTCATGTAGGCGACCAAAACTATATCCATGCCCTTGCTCACGCCCCGACTCAATGAGGGGCCAAAGCGGTGACATGAGCAACAGTCTGTCCTCAGGACCTGCGAGGTTTTATCCATGCCCTGCTGCGTCGAAAACTCATCGGCCTGCATCGAACATGTGGATCGAACGGAATTTCCAGACGCTCATCGACGCTAGTGTGCACTCCACAGACGGAATCACGAGCGTACACCAGATGAGCGCTTCTTATTCGGAGTGTCGACATTGGGCGGAGGGGGGGGGAATGGGGAGGGTCTGGCACTGGACCTCTGCTGAGTGCGGCAGTTTGCAGCAAAGCATCCCATGGGGGAGACTCCACCTGCTTGAACCGGGCCCCCTCAACAGCCAAGACCTGCTCCATGCGGGGAGGCCTCCTAGATGGGGTCCGAGTAGATGAGGTCGGTCATGCACTGGCGACGTCGGCCATGCACTGGCGACGTCGGCGATGCATCGGCGACGTCGGCGTGGAGAGAATTGGGCCCCACATCGAGCCGCATCGCGGATGCATCGCCGATGCATCGGCGATGCGCCGCAAGCCTCCGACCCCATCTACTCCGACCCCATCTAGGAGGCCTAGAATGGGGGGAGGGGGGGAGGGGCTGCGATGGCCCGCGCCGCTCGGCAAGCCAGCGAATGAGACAGCGATGGCCAGGCTCCCTCGACTACCCCCCGGCACGGAGATCGAGCGTCGATCGCCGATCACGCGGAGACCCGAGCCCGGCCCCGCACGCGCCGCGCCAGAGCGGCCGAGGCGCGCGCGGGAGGCCTGGCCAGGCGGGCGGCGCGGCCTTGTGGATGCGCCCCTGGCGTGTGGAGCCGCAAGGCATCACGCCCAGAGATCCGAAGATCCGATCAAGTCGGGCAGAGGTTCTCTCTGTGTCGCAGCGGCCGTTACCGGCCTCCGCCGCCTCCCCGTGTAACGTCACGATTCATGCTGTCCTGCGAGGTGTCTTTGGGCATTTCTGGACATTCACGGACAACGCCTGCGCGAAACGTGACGTTACCAGGCCCGCCCCCTCTCCCCCCCCCCGTCAACGCCCATTACCGCCCGCGAACAATAACGCGCTCTTGGAGCGGTCGGTGATGGGCTATTTTCGGCCCCCGCGGGCCCTCAACGGAACCCAATGACCGTCAGGAAATTGATTAGGCCGAAAAACCGGTCCTATGGGAAGTCGTCCAGACCCCGAGGGCCCACGCACCGAGAAAACTGGAGCGCCGGATGCCTGGGATGCCCCACGGGTTCGCACGAGCGGCGAAGGTATCGACATCTATGCCATCGCGGTCTGGATTTCTGAGGCACGATCGCGCGGATGCGCGGTCGCTCGAATCTGTCCAGGAAATGTTCTGTCCAGGAAATGCCAATGGCGAAAGACGAGTCTGAATTCAACCTCCCAGGAGTTCACCCTGGGACCAGGCCTTGATCCCCCGCCTGGAGGGCGCCCTTCGAGTCACCCGTGGGAAGGCCAACGCAACCGCGCAAGCCGCTGCTGCCGCACAGCATCAACGAGCGGCGGGACGCGCCCCGAAAGATCACTCCGGCGAAAGGCCAATCTGGCGCAGGGTCACGCTTGCGGATGGGGGGGTATGTGCAGATCCACATGGGGCACCGACGTGCTAGGACCCCAGCGGGCGGTGCACACGGACACTTTCTGGTTTCAGGGGGCCCAACAGTGGGTATATCCACCGCCTGCCGAGGTCCCCTAAGATCGATCCCACAAGCGGTGCTTCATGGGGAAAAACCCCAAAAGGTACCCATACCGCTACTCCCTGGACCTCTCCTGGGGTGCGTACTGACCAGAATTTCGCGGCGAGTCCAGTGGTGGCGACGAGGCCACCCACGAAGCCCGGAAAGGGAAAAACGAGGCAACGGCAGCGGTAATTCGCGGTAGCGGTACAATTGGCCCTCCTCTCGTCGATGATTCCTCTCCTCGGAGTCATTGCGTTCGACCGAATTTGGGAGGCCTGGACTTTGAGCCCCCGCCTGGAGGTCGGCAATCAGGGCGCCCGGGCACCTGTACCCCGCCTCGGGGACGCACAAGGACATACTAGCACTATGCGTCCTCCTCAGAGGCGCGCGTCCCATCCGAACATATAGTACAAGCATGCTGTACCACATCATTTCCCGAGCGGTACGGCCAGAACGCGCCCGCCACGAAGCATGTACCAAGATTTCTCGGCGCGCGCGTCGCCAAGGCAACGCTAACGGCGATGTTGGTGAACGGCGTTGTTGGGAATATGTTGTCTGCGGCGCCGAACTCGCGCAGAACGAACTACAGGAAATCACGAACCACGCTCCCCTACGTCTCAAAGGCTCGAATGTGCCGACAGAAGACGGCACGGCGAATTGCAGGCAATCGCGAACCACGCTTTCCTATAATCGGGTCGGCCACGAACCACCCCCGCCTACAGTGCCTAAGCCTACATCGCCGTTAGCGTGTCTACGGCGTCCCTCCAGGGGAGACGACGCAAACATAGTGTTCAGAGGCCTCCTAGATGGGGTCCGAGTAGATGGAGTCTGAGGCGATCACGCCGCATCGCCGATGCATCGTCGATGCATCGCCGACGCATCGCCGACGTCGGCGGTGCATCGGCGCCATCGGCACGGCGAACATCGGGCTCCGCATCGAGCCGCACCGTCGATGCACCGGCGCTGCATCGCGATCCTCCGACCCCACCTCTCCCGACCCCCCTCTGGGAGGCCTGGAGGGCTTTTACCAGCCTCGAACTTATCCCTATCCCTAAGGATGACACGCCCGAAGGCGATGACAATCTTAGGGATCCGCCCTCAAAAAATACGGGAATCCCCAAGATTGGCATCGTGATGAGAAGGAGGAGGAGGAGGAGGAGGAGGAGGAGGAGGAGGAGGAGGAGGAGGAGGAGGGAGGAGGAGGACGAGAAGGAGGAGGAGGAGGAGGAGGACGAGGAGGAGGAGGAGGAGGAGGGAGGAGGAGGTGGAGGAGGAGTTGCACATGGATGGGGATATGCTCCAGGCTGGCAAGGACTGGAGCTTTCGGGGGTGCCGCCGCGCCTCCGCCGCGGGCGCCGCCTTCGCGCCCTGCGCGGGGGGCACCTGCGTCGGGAGCGGCCAAGAGGGGGGTGTCCAAGAGGGGGGGTGCAAATCATGACCGGCGGCATGTGCGCGGCCCGGCGGGGGGGCCAGGGACGTCATGAAACGAGAAGAGGCGCCATGAAATCTGGGGAGACATCATGGCCCACGCCATGATACCCACCCCCCCCCTACGGCAGGTTCGTGTCGTGCCGACCCCAGCGTTGGTTTTTGACACCGCGGGGATCGTTCAACCTTGAACGATCGGCCGCTGCCGCAACGTCCGATCGTTCAACATCGACCGATTCTGGGCCGCCGGCGGCGTTCAACCTTGAACGTCCGCGCTGGGGTCGCCGCCGGTCGACACGACGCAAACCTACCTAGTCCTTACCCCCCTCTCTTCCGCCCCCGACCGGCGCCTTCGCCGGCGGCCCCCCCGCGCCGGGCGCGGCCCGGGCGGCGCCCGCCTGCGCGGGCGCGGGGTCGGCGGCCCGGGGCGCCGGCGGCCGGGGCAGGCGAGCGCCCCGCTGGGGCAGGCGAGCGCCCCCGGGGTCGGCCGCGGCAGCCCAGGGGTCACCTGTCGGCGGCACGTACAGTCGGGGCGTCGACCTAGGGAGCCCTAAATAAGGAACGAGGCCCCTCGTTTCCATGAGTTAAACTTCGGCTTCCCATCGAAAACCTGAGGAAAACCTGAGGCAAGCAGTGAAACACTCAAGGAACGCGGAGCCCCTCCCCAACCAAAAAGGGTTCCTTCTTCAGGGCCCCGACTGTAAGAGTGACCCTGGGTAAGAGTTGGGCGTCCGAGTTATCCGGGATGACTCGGGTCCGGGGCAACTCGGGTTTGGATTCCCGAAAAACGAACCCGGGTTAGCCCTGACCCGAATTATCCCTGATGATTTGGGGCTCTGGACGCCCGAGTTATCCGGGGTAACTCGGGCCCGGGGCAGCCCAGGTGTCACCTCGGCGGTGGACAAACCTCCCTCTAGTAAACCTCCCCTCAGTAAGAACGCGAAGCCGACGGACCTGGACCCGCAAGAATGACAGCCGCGGCGCCCCCTCGCGGACCGAGAACGGCCAATTCCTGAATCGACGTGTCGAGGTAAGAGGTCTATCAACCTCCGATCACCTGGGACGACCAAAACGGACCGTCAGAATCTGGGGGGGGCCCGCCAGAAGAAGCGTCGGCAGGTCCGAGTTGCGGCGCGCGCGGGTCTTGCACAAGTCTGGCGGCGAGCGAGGGGGGGGAGGAAGAAGGTGGCCTTCTCGGAAGTTTGTGTCTTCTGACTGCCAACCAGACCACCCCAACCCTACCCGAAGACCCGAATTTTGGGTTGAGGGGGTACGGGCTCCAGACGTTTTTTTCCAACGTTCCCCGATCCCCCCCCCCTCACTGGGAGTGGAGGGCAAATCAGGTAGGGCCTTCGGGTTGGGTTGGGATGGCTTGGTGGGTGGTGACCTTCGGGGAAGGCTTAGAACACTGCCGAGAGGGCTGTGGGACTGCCGAGCCCTCTGAGAAGGGCCGCCCCTTCTCAGTTTCCCCCCCTCGCTCGCCGCCGAACAAGGCTGACGGCGCGCCGAGGGCAGGGAGGGGCAGAGACGGGAGCGGACGGGCCCAGGCATGGTGCTTCCACGCTTTCGACGGGGCCCAGGGACACACAAGCAAGTGGGCACAACTCCCCAGATCCCCCTTTTGTTCTATATAGTTCCCTGGATGGCCGTCTCCTCCTCCACTCTCTGGATTTGTGTGTAATGTTTTCGGGGGGATCGACGACCAGCTTTGTCCATGTGCTTTCTCCCTCAAGGAAAAACAGAGGGGTCTCTCGCGAAATGGCATCGCGACCTCGCGCCGCGGCTTGCGCGGGCGACCAGCGCGGCACACCACACCGGGAATGGAGGCGCTGAATCGCCACCTTGCGCGGGCAGCTTACTCGCGAACGTCCGCGCAGTCGAACCCGTTCCTCTGAGTCGCCCACCTGGGGAAGGCGGGGATAGATGAAACAACAACACGCGCGGTATGCCTTGGAAATGCGCGCAGGCAACCCTCCCAGATAGTCCCGGCCAACCTCAAGAGGCCCCCCTGAGCAGCCCCGAAGGCATCAACAGGCCCCCCGAGTAGCCAGGGGCGGTCTCAGCACCCGAGCGCCGCCCCTCGCGACGCCCTTGCCCTTGGGGCGCTTGTTTCGTAGATTCGACGAGCAAATCAGTTATGGGGTGATTCAATTCTGCAGTCGAATACTGACTCGACACATGGTTAGGACCCCTCCTCCCTCCCTTATGCCATGATTTCCCTCCTTCGTCCACCTTCGTTCCTTCTCTCTCGTCCCCCGCTCCCCCTCCGCCTTCCCCCTCTGCGTCCCTCTTGCCACAGTTTTCCGTAATTCCCCGCCCCCCCCTCCATCTCAAGCAGCGTTTCTCTTGGTGGGGGGGCACGCATGCGGAAAATGCGACTGGCGCCTTCGGTGGAGCCCTCTGAGGGATCACGAAACGATGTACTGGGTAGGGGAAACGCATGCAAAACGGTGCCACTGACGCCATCGGTGGGGCTCCCTATGGGGCCACGAAGCGCTGGACTGGATGGAATGGACGCATCAGAACTTTGCTACTGGGACCTTCGCCATTTGGGCCACGAAACGCTGAACGCATGCGGACGGTGCCACTGGCGCCGTCGGTGGGGCTCCCTATGAGCCACGAAGCGCAATACTGGGTGGGGCAAACGCAAACGGACTGGGCCACTGCGGCCTTCGGTGGAGCACACCATGGGGCCACCAAACGCTGTACTGG